CTTGATGTCGTTAAGAAGTGGAGTGTATGTTGATATTTCATCTCCTTCTTTTTCTTTATTAAAAACAATAATAAGTTATAAACTCTCTTGATATTTTTGCAAAACATATTAGTGAATTTGTTAAAGTTATGACAATAAACACCTCTCTCCTTTAAGTACCTTCTATCAATTAACCGCCCCCCCCACCCCACCCAGATTCCTAAAGTTAAAAATGCTCGGCCAACGGTACAGTCAAATCCCACTTTACAGACAGACACCCACTTTGGACACCTAATTATTACAGATAGTTTTCTTTGTCCCTGGGGGAAGAAAGCCCTTAGATTTTCTATAAATTCAACCCATTTAATATGGACACTTTCTATGGTCCCTCTCAGTATCTGTTTCAACAGGGTACTGTAATAATATTGTCCATGTAGAGCAAGGGAATTACGTCAGTGTCAATGAAAATCATGTTGACATGGAAAGGCAAGCAACAATTTTGATCAAGCTTGCATATTTTGCTTGTTCTGCTATTCTTGGGGAAAATTATTCAAAACTTGAAGTCTAAATTTTAGTAGGTTCCGCAAGTTCCTCAAGTCCGTGTTCCACGCTCCATTCCATTATTTCTGCGTCTACTTTCATGGAGTACCAAAAATATGATGTCGGCGACTTATTATAAGTTTTTAAAAATCTAAGCCGTTTGAATAACAAGTTCGTATTTCGCTTTTCAAACAAATAAATCATCTTCGAGTGCAACAACGGCGTAAAGATAAAAAAAACATGTCAAAAGTATGGAATTAATACTCACTGTCAACTCTAATCAGAATAAACGAGTGTCGAGCTTTGAGAATTTCAGTGGCATATTCACTTTTATGCTCCAAAAGATTCTTTAGATTGCCCGATTCATCCGACAGGTCAATTATCTCTGAGAAAACACAAACATTTACAAATACAAGCATCGAACAAACAGCTTGAGATATTGAACATAAACTCAACAAACAACAGCTGACGAAAGCTTAGTTTAAACAAGTGACTAGAAACCAACCTTCTCTTCCTCGTCGGCACCTCTTTTTGATGTCTTCTAAAAGAACTTTTGTCATACAATTTGGGTTAAAAAGAGCTTCTTGACAATCTAAAACCGAAAGGAAGGAGCGCAATTACTTCCTCGTGACGTTTGTGAGATGCAACACGTCGCCTCATCGCGTGTAAACATAAATTTTAAAACATCGCTCAGTCACGAAGTCAGATTCGCGGTATTAAAATCAAAGTTAAACGGTTTACAAGAAGAAATGAGATCATACCTCCATATCTCACGGTTATAAACATACTGCTTTAAACCTGAACAATGTAAATACAAATGGCTAAAGTGAGTCACTCTTTGCTGTTTTTTCGATCATCTAATGACCTGACAGCTGTATTGTTCTTTAAGCCATTAACTGAAGCCCACTGTCGGAATGTCGCATGTTGTCATTGTTAGTCAAGCAAGAGTTAATCACGTTTTTGTTTCACAATTACTATGCCATGGAAACTGTTATTATTGTAAACAGCTTGCCTTCCAAACAAAAGAAGATGTTTGACCTTTCACTATTGTAAACAGTGAGAAGGACTCTGGGATTGGAATGGCTGGAATTTGGAACGCAATGAGTGCATGTACCATCTGTGCTGTTTTTTCCTGGAAATTTAGGCCTCGTGCACACGTATCCGGCTATTTTGGAATCCGCAACTTTTTCTCTCCGGATACGGTTTCCGTCGACACGTATCCGGCGAATCCGGTATACGAATCCACATCATGTTCTTTTTTTTTACACCGCTCTCCAGAGTGGAAATTTTGCTGATTTTGTCCAACTTTATCCTGTTTTATCACCATGAGATGTTCGTCTGTTCGTTTTCTACACTAAAACGTACATTTAACAAAGAAAATCGACAAAGACAAAGATTCGCAGTATTGTTTTAAATGCCAAAGAAAAATAACACAATAAAACTCCCTGCGAAATTAGCCCACATAGCTCCATGGCTCCCCATATGTCAAGTTGGGCTCAGGTGATCGAAGGAAGCTACGCCCCAGAATTTCGTTTTCTTTTTCCAACTACGCGCATTTATCAGTTTCTCGAAGATTTAATATGTATTCAATAAAACGATAGCGAGAGTCCTTAGACAGATGTCCTTCCTATAGAGAGTTAACTAAAAGAAGCAAAGAAAAGCAAGGACCAACTCTAGGTGTCTGTCATTAGTGACGTGTCCGTCTTAATGTCCGCTATGAGACAGTTGATTGTAAAGTTTCGTTATTGAATACAGTCAACTATCTCTTAGCGGACACTTCTACAAGACGGAAACCTCGGTAAAACAACCACCTAGAGTTAGTCCCTGCCATTCTTTACTCCTTTAAACTGACTGTCCTCTCTAAGATGGACACCTAAAGTTGGGAGGTCCCATCACTTCTTTAATCCTTCTAATTATAAGCTCTATGAGACGGACATTTCTCTAAGATGGACACCTCTCTAAGAACCGGATCCCTTGAGTTCGTTTCCTGCCTTTCTCTACTCCTTTTTAATTACAGTCGAACTTCTATTATCGTCCACCTCTCCTCAACGGTCGCCTCTCTGCAACGGCCACTTTTTTTTCGGACAGTCAAAAAAACAGGGGCACCCAACGAGAATATAGTTCAAAACCGCTAAAACATAGCATTGTTGATCGTATTTTAGCATTTAAACGGTAGATATATTCGATATAGGCATGCTTTTATCCCCTAAAAGTTTTTCATCTGTTCGGATTTCCTTGCTGAAAGTCTAGTGATCCGAAAATTACGGGGATCAAAACTTACCTTTTCATAGAGCTCATAGAGCTTATAATTAGAAGGATTAAAGAAGCGATGGAACCTCCCAACTTTAGGTGTCCATCTTAGAGAGGACAGTCAGCTTAAAGGAGTAAAGAATGGCAGGGACCAACTCTAGGTGGTTGTTTTACCGAGGTTTCCGTCTTGTAGAAGTGTCCGCTAAGAGATAGTTTACTGTTTTCAATAACGAAACTTTACAATCAACTGTCTCATAGCGGACAGTAAGACGGACACGTCACTAATGACGGACACCTAGAGCTGGTCCTTGACTTTCTTTGCTCCTTTTAGTTAACTCTCAATTAGAAGGACATCTGTCTAAGGACTCTCCCTATCGTTTAATTAAATACATATTTAATTAAACTGATAAAACTTCGAGAAACTGATAATTGCGCGTGGTTGAAAAAAGAAAACGAAATTCTGGGGCGTAGCTTCCTCACCCTGCGAGCAGAGTCTCCTTCGATCTAGAAAGATCGAAGAAGACTCTGCTCGCAGGGTAAGCTTTCTCTGATCACCTCTGCCCAACTTGACATATGGGGAGCCATGGAGCTGTGTGGGCTAATTTCGCAGGAAATTTTATTGTGTTGTTATTTTTTGCATTTAAAACAGTACTTCTAATCTTTGCCTTAAAAGCAAACACGATTTTCTTTGTTAAATGTACGTTTTAGTGTTGAAAACGAACAGACGAACAGAATGGTGATAAAAGGTGGACAAAATCAGCAAATTTTCCACTCTGTAGAGCGGATTCAAAAAAAAGAAATGTGGATTCTTTTTCAGCCAGAAAAAAGGCTCCCGAAAATTCTAGGTGACCTTTTTAGGGTAAAAATCCCTTAAAAATGGGCAATTATACCAGTTTTTTGATGTTCGAAAATCCTAGAAGAGGCAGGCAAGCAAGAAATTTTACAACAAATGTTCCGAAAATTCTAGTTCTCAAATCGTCTTCCGAACAGATATTTTCCAAAAATAGACGTTAGGTGCCCATGATACATTGACTCTTGTTTAAACCTCTCTACAACGGCCACTTTCTTCTGCCATAAGGTGTCCGTTGTGGAGAGGCTCAATTGTAGTTGAATCTCAGTAAGACAGACACGTCTCTCTAAGACGGGCACATGATGCCATGTCGCAGAGGTGTCCGTCTTAGAGAGAGTCGACTGTACTATGTTTATAGCCGGCGAGAAAGCTCTCCGGGGCGCTCTGGCGGTGGGGCGGGAAAAGGAAGGAGAGCTTGCAACAACGTCGCTGGAATATGAATTCCATCTCCAATTTCCTGTGGCTCCTCGTCGACTGAGCTGTCAGATTTCCGCTAATCAGCGCAAAGCGGAAAGGAGCGCGAATGTTGCGCGAATGTAAACAAACATTGAAAAACACGTGCCAAGGGTAATGACGTCATTTGACGTCATTACTAATGTCATCTCCGCCAATCAGAATTTCTCATTGACTTTTTCGATGCACTGATATTCAAATATTCCAGACACGTAGTTGCAAGCTCTTCTTCCTTTTCCCGCCCCGCCGTCAGAGCGCCCGGAGAGCTTGCTCGCAGGCTACTATGTTTATTGCCATCAATATGAAAATATGAATGAGGAAAATGACGACGGTTTTTGGCAAGGATAAATAGCGATAGAACGCTCAGAAAACGTCTTGGAAAACGTAGTGAACAGCGCTGTGTTGTCGCTTTCGAGCCAGTTATGACGGGTTGGTATTCAACCATCAAACGATCACGAGGCACAAATTGTTAATGGAGTTGCATACCTATGCTTTGTGTCGCCTTACGCGCTTCGAAAAATTCTTTCCCAAGCTCCCCCGCGATCCACAACGTCCCGAAAGTTGTATCAGGAAAATAAGGACGCTCAGGTTGACAAGCCGGCTTCTTTCAGTTTTATAGCAGAACCGCGCATACACCACATCAGCAGTTATAAATTGGCTCTTCTATGTCGCCAAAATTTGCCTGCGCACGGTTAAATGATTATAAATTCTGAAAAGTCACCGAAAAATGCCAAGGTTTTCCCTCAGTGGACTCGCCGTCATGGTGATATGACAATTCATTGCGTACGATTGTCTGGCGTTTCTGAACTATATTCAATATTTCATATCTGATCAATGTTAGAAATAGTAGTTGATGTCATATGACGTAGCTTGACGTTATTATTGAAATAAACACTGTGGCAGAGGAAAGTGCAATTTAAACAGCTTGATGTCTCTCGCTATTAGTCACGATTCTTACGACGACTTTCGAGTTTGCTTTAAAAGGGTGGAGAGTCGACTGAGAACACTCAACAGTATGTTGACGGGAGAGACGG